ATGGTTCATCACAAATAGAAAAATTCATAATAACAATTCCATTCAAGGTTGTAATTTTCCACCAACTACGATTATGGGTGGTTTGCAATGATGAATGATGTCCCCCTCCCCGCCCCGAGATTTTATTTAGAGAGAGAGAGATAGAACACAAGCAGGCAGAGCGGCAGGCAGAGGCAGAGAGAAGCAGGCTTTCCTCTGAGCAAGGAGCCCGATATGGGACTCAATCCCAGGACCCTGGGATCAGGACCTGAGCTGAAGGCAGAGGCTTAACTGACTGAGCCACCCAGGCATCTCTATGAATGATGTTCTTAATGCATTTTTTTCCTGGATGAAGAAAGTGAGTCTTATTAAAAAAAAAAAAAAAAAAAAAGATGACTGCAAATGCATACTATGATTAAACTAGGATTTACACATAGATCTCTTGTGCTCTTACCAGCTGGTAAATTCTTGAGTTTTTAAGGCCTTATCTTATCCACAGTCATCTCTAGTACCTAGCAGGAGACCTGAGACATAGCAATGATAATAAATGTGGGATTAAATAGATGAATCCATAAAAGCTCATTTCTAATCCCTACATGTAAGTTGAGCTACTTCCTTAAAATGTGATCTATTCTAGGAAAAATTAAAAAAATAAATGATTTCCTTAAAAAAATAGGACTTTCATAACAGGTAAAAAAATAAATGAAGAAAAGCCAGCGATAAAGAGAAAGATCACAAGAAAACTCAAATAAAAGATGTCTAATGGAAAAATGACTCCGTACAAAAGAAACCACTGATATTGTTTATGTAATAACTGTGCTCCACCCAACTCCAAAAGAACATAAGGTGACTCAGTACTTCACCACAATAAGGTTATTAAGAGTGAAGGAGAATGGTCTATTTGAGGGAAGGTGGGCGGGTACTTCAGCTCCCTCCGCAGTACAAAGAGTAACAATCCCGCAAGAATCTTGGCATGTTTTCTGACGGCTGAAGGAAGGAGAGAACTCTACTCCCTTGCACAGGCGCTTCCACTTTCTGATTTCAGAAGCTTAATTCCGAATACATCACTATCTCCCCTTCCTCCCTTGCCAAAACTCTGAGTCATTTTTTAAAAAATGATTTTATTTATTTATTTGATAGAAATCACAAGTAGGCAGAGGCAGGGAGAGAAAACGGGAGGCAGGCTCCCAGATGAGCAGAGAGCCCGATGCTGGACTCAATCCCAGAACCTTGAGATCATAACCTGAGTCGAAGGCAGAGGCTTAACCCCTGAGTCACCCAGGCGCCCCAATACTGTGAGTCTTAAGAGTAGTATTTATATTTCTGCTCAGCACAAGGTCCTTATGTACTGGGAGAGCTGCCCGAGAACCCGGGCCCAAGCTGCACGGAGCACACCTAATCCTCACTCCTGAGCCTCAGTTCATCCCATTCCACACAGCTCCCTCCTGCGGGGACAGTCCAGGTGGGCTCTGATGTTCCCACCAAGGACTCTGCCTGATTTCCCGCTCCCACATGTTTATCGTACTGTCCCCATAGAGCATAATGCCATGTCCTTCTATTCTTCAATGTCTATAAATGGTCTATACGCATCCCCTCGCCACTAACCACCTCCCATCCTCTGTTCTGACCACCATGGCACTGGGGCCATCACATCTTGCCTTGTATCTACCTGAAAGACCGCACACACATGAAGGCATGATGACCTCTTCTACTTCTGCATATAGTAGATCCTCAGATCTTTAAATGGAGAAAGAAAATCCATCTGAGACAGAATTATGTCATGGAAACCAAAACAGATGACTTAACAAAACCTAATAAAATGCAAAGACCATTAACAATCTGAAACTAATGATATACTGTATGTTAATTGAATTTAAATAAGATTAAAAAACCATAAAAACCACAATACATTCAAAAATCATGCTACGATAAATGAGTCTAATATAAAACCAATCTATACCCTAAATTTCTTAACATACATAATTATGTGTTAATACTTTGAATCAAAAAAGTTTCTAATAACTCACAGAAAAACACACATGTAAGCTATTTGTATCTTTGAGGCATAATTTCTATCTCATTTATTAGAATTTGTTTGTTTAGCCATGATGGTGTCAATGTTTATAGTAACATTAAGATCAAGGTAAAAATATTTACCTTGCCAGTTTTCATTCATAAGCCCACACTTTTCATTAAATATTCTCTGAAATGTAAATGCCTTAGAATTTAAGTTGAAACAATAATTTTTAAAAGTTGTAGAAGTTTTACACTATCTTGTACCCTTGATACTAATATAACACTATATATCAACTATACTGGAATTAAAATAAAAAGCTTAATAAAATTAAAAAAACAGAATTGTAAGAGTTTTAGCTGGAATTCCATAAGCAAGGACATATGGTTTTCTATATATTGTAACTAACCTTTTCATTTCTTTTTAAAAGAAATTCAATATATATGCTTTCAAATAGCACCATTGAGATATAATGCACATACAAATTTGCTCATTTAAAATGTACAATTCAATGGTTTTCAGCATATTCACAATATCTGTGATATTATTTTAAGTTAAACGTTGTGAACTGTTAGCAGCAGAGATTATGAAAACCTACAGAAAAGATTCATTAGGTCCAACAAAAACGCAGCATTACTAGTCGGTTTTTCAGAATCGGTTCTTCGCAGGATCGAAAGCTACACTATACATTATTTTTTAAAGATTTTACTTATTTATTTGACAGACAGAGATCACAAGCAGGCAGAGAGGCAGAGAGAGAGGAGGAAGCAGGCTCCCCGCTGAGCAGAGAGCCCGATGCGGGGCTCGATCCCAGGACCCTGAGATCATGACCTGAGCCGAAGGCAGAGGCTTCACCCGCTGAGCCCCCCAGGCGCCCCTCCACTATACATTTACTGTGACCCTAACTTAACATAATTCTAACTCCTACACTGCAGTTACTTACAGCTCACTCCTTCCTCTGCAGGCTCTGGTCTGAAATGCAAAGTCAAACGAACACTAACCTAAAACAGCAGCGTTACTAGAACCCGAGGAAGTAAGCTGACGAACGCATACATCCTAACTCTAACCCACCTAAGCTAAGAAAAGCAGCCATCACTGCCCTGGGTCTAGCAACCTGCCCTCGGTTCCGACCGCGGAAGTCTGGGCCCTGCAGCGTCCACAGCTCTGCGGACCGCAGCAGCCGCGGCGCCGGTGTAACCACAGGCAGCGCCCGAAGCCCCTTCGCGGCCCGAGGGGTTCCGTACGCACCTTCTCAAGCCACCGTCTCTCCAGGACCCACGTGCTAGCGCGACGGACACCACGACCCGGCGGTCGGGATCGGCTACGCGAACCCCGTTTCATGGGAGCACAAGCCGGAGACGAACCCTGGGAGTCCAGACAGACACTCGCTCTTCCTCCGCTCGAGACCCCAGCGCGGTCTTGTCTCTTGTGCTCCAGGTTCTCTGCCCACGCGCCTTCGGTTCCCGCCTCCCGCGACGGCACGGGAAGAGAGCTCCCGGGTCAGAGCGCGGACAGCCGGCGGAAGCCGGCGGCCCCCGTCCCGACCACCGACCACGCGAGCGCGGCGCTGACACGACACCAACGGCCAGAGCGCGGGTCTGGGGTCTCACCGACTCGCAGCGCGGAATCCACGTGTCCTGGGGGGCCACACGGGCAGGACCGGCGCAGACCTCGCCGTGCCCGGTTCCGTGCTTCCCGCCGTCCCCGCTCACCTCCGTGACCCTCGTCAAGCACGCCCCTCCTCCCGCCGCCTCCATTCAGGCCGCTGCGACACAGGCGGCTCTTCCACCCGCCGGTGTCTTCCCGGTGCACGCGGACGGAGAGCGAGCGACGACGGCAATGCGGGGTACGGAGAAGCCACAGGGCCGAGCCCCGTAGAACGCACCGGGCGCCGCTTTCCCCACTTGCCGGCCTGAGCTGAAGCCGGCGCGCACGTCTCCCCATCAGCCCCGAGCGGGGCCCGGGGCCTCACGGGGCCGCGTCCTGGACAGCCCCCTCGGGGCAGGCCGCGAGCGCGTCGCGCCGCCGCTCCCACCGCGCTGAGGCCGCCCGCGACGGCGCACAGCACGCGCACACGCACCTCCTGCTCCCGCACGGCCCACCCGAGATCGCAACCCCCGAAGCACCGAGTACGCCAAAGTCCCGCACCGCTGCCGCGGGGGATGACGGCCCTCCCCGCACCGCGCTGCCCCCGCCGTCGTGCGGCCTGCAGACGGCGACACGCGGACCCGCCGGCACACAGGAGCGTGAGGCCCCTGCCCACCCGGACCCCGCGTCCCGCCCTCTGCCCGCCTCCTGTGTCCTCCCCCGCACGCGTCTTGTCACGGGAAGCCGCGACCGCTCTCCCGGCCCTGTGCTCCCGAGAGAGGGACCCCGGAGCCTCCCTGCGGCCGTCTCCCCACGAGTTCGCAGCAAGCTCTGCGGGAACCCCAGTCGTCGCAGAGCACCTGCCGCACGCGGGACGGCGACTCCGTGTCGGAGCTCACCGGAGGATGAGGCGCGCGCGAGGAGGCGGCCCCGACCGCGCTCCCCGCCTCACTGCGACGCTACCCCGCAGACGACTCGGGGATGCGGACCCCCCTGTCAGCGCACCCCCAGCCCGGCCCCCCGCAACGCACCCTGCAGCCCAGGCCTGCCCCCGAGCCCCGGCTTGCGCGAGGACAACCCGCGTTCCGACCCCGCGGAGCAGCGCCACACCCGCCCGGACAGCGCTCCCCGCCCCCCGCCGTCTCCGCGAACGCGCGGGCGCTGCCGGTCTCCGGGACCCGCAGCCAGCGCGGCGGCACCGGGCGGGCCGGGGCGCCGGGAGCCCAGCCCCCGCCGCCCAGCGTTCCAGAGGCGCGAGTCAGCAGCAGCGCTGCCGCCGCCGCCCCGCGCCCTCACCTGTGCGGCTCCGCGCGGGCCCGGGGCGGGGCGGCTGGGGCGCTGGCGCGGGGACCCCGGCCAGGAGGCGCGCGGGGCCGCGAGCGGCGGGGCGGATCCCGGGCCCGCGCGGAGCCGCACTCACCCAGGCCGGCAGGTCGCAGGCGCGCACCCCCAGGCGCACGGCGCGCTCCTCGTCCTCCAGCAGCGCCAGGGCGCGGCACAGGCGGGTGGCCTTGAGGCCGCGGCTGCGCCGGCACCACACGAGCAGCCCGAGCGCCAGCAGCACCCAGCTGAAGCTCAGGCCCAGGTAGCCGAGCGCGTACACCGGCAACAGCAGCGCGAAGCTGCGCGCCAGCTGCGCCAGCAGCCCCGCCACGTCCACGCTCAGCGCCGCGCCCGCGGACTCGGCCTGGGGAGCGCCGGCCTCGGCACCGCGGTTCCCCGCGCCGCTCATGGCGCAGCGTTCCGTCCCCACCCGGACGCGGAGCCTCTGCCCGCGCACCAGCGCCCCTCTGAGGGGACCGCGCCGGCGCTACCGCCCGCACGCGCTTCCGCCCGCGGGCGGCGTGCGACGTCAGCACGCAGGATAGGCGGGGCGGCGGCCGGGCGCTGCCCTGAGCCGCGGTGCCCAGGACGGGTGGGCGGGGATGGCTGGGGTCGCCGCCGGGCGCTCGCCACCTGAGGCGGGAGTAAGCGCGGGGTCGACGTGAACGTCAGCGCGCGGGGTGGGGCGCCACTCCGGCTGCCCAGCGCGGCCCTGGACCGGAGCCACGTATTCACGATGGGTAGGCGGGGCCGCACTGCGACCTCAGCGCGGGGGCGGGCGGGCGCCCACGGAAGTGGGAGTGGGTGGGGCCACTCCGGCGGTCGGGCGCCTGGTCACGTGGGGCAGGCGGGGCGGGGCGCGCCTCTGCGGTGGCACGACGCGGCGGTGAGCCTAGAGCGCGTACCTGACGTCCCCACGCTGCCGCAGGCGCGGAAGGGCCGCCGTCTGAGGCGGGGGCGGGCGGGGCTGACGCGTGAAGTCTCCCGCGCGTGACGTCAGCGCGCGGGGCGTGCTCCGACTGCGGGCTCCGGCTGCGGGCTCCCGCGCGGTCGCTGCCGCTGGCGGGGAGCTAGCTGTGCGTGTTCCAGCGCGCTTGTCCGCTTGCCGGCTTTTTGGAAGTTCCGGTTGGATCCGAGCGCACTGCCGCGTGGGTGTGATGGTGCGGCGCCGTGAGGCTGCTGCGGCGGATCGCGGAGGGAGGACGCTCCGTGTCGGAGGTCTCTCGGCTGCTCGGGGGAGACAGGTCGGTCCGCGTAGTGCGCGGGGAGCGTGAGGACCTGCGGTTTCTGGGGGTCCCCGCCGGTGATTACCTCACGGTCCGGATGCTCAGTCAGGGTCGGCCCCAGGGAAGCGCTGTGGAGCGCTAGCTGCGTTCCGAGGGCCGGCAGCGGAGCGAGTCTCCCTCCTTCCTCCTCCGGTCTTCGTTGCCGGAAACCTTGAGCGTCTTTCCGAAGGGCGGGGGCTGGGAGCACACGCGCGGTTGCGGCCCTTGACCGGCGCTGTCACCTCGTGTCCCCCGAGCTCCCCCCCGGAGTGACGACCTCACGGTGTACCGACCTCACGGTGTACCTCGTGTCCCCCGAGATCCCTCCCCGGAGTGACGACCTCACAGTGTACGTCGTGTCCCCCGAGCTTCCCCCGCCTTGTGGTGGGGCCCTGGAGTTCTGACTTGATGGTGTACCTCCTCTTGCACGAGCTCCTCTCCCCCAGGGCGGGGATCCTGGAGTGACGACTGGATAACTAGGATGGCTGCAGGGATGAAGCCTGGTATCTTCGGGACAAAACCAGGACGCTCCACAGACGGCTTTGCCGCGTGGAGTGAAACGCCGGCAAGGCGAGGAAGACTGCGGGCTGGAGAATCCCAGCATCGTCAGCGGAACAGGTCGAGGACTCAGTGCTCCAGGAGTTCTCCCGGTGGGGGAAGCACTTGCATGTGCTGATCGCATTGCCCACATCTCATTAATAGTTCAGCCGGGCTCTGAGTCCCGTGAGGGCCATGGCCGCACTGGCAGTGATCATCATCATATCTCCAGGCTGGCACGGTGCCTGAATGAGTAGCCGAGACCTCCCTTCTCCTCTTCAGCTCTGTTAGAATTAGGCTTGCCTGTATATGTGTGTGGCCATGGAGATTTCTAAACGTATATCAGAAACATTGCTCTAGGATCCAGAGCACTCAGTTTTGGGCAAGGACACTCAACCTCAAGCAAGGGAAGAGGTTTTCCTTTTCTTGCTCTTTCCCGTATTACATTTAGTTGTAAATACATAAAATGGCCAGTCTCAAACCTTTTCCTCAGCAACAGCTAAATGTGCTAATGCCGAGTCATACTCAAGACTAAGTTACAAATGCAAGACAGTTAATTACCTTGTTAACACAGGAATGAGCATGAGCCTTTCGGTCCTGTGGTCTTTCCTCTAATGAGCCCTAGAATCAAATCCTTTAAGGATTTATGAATGAACACGAACGACATAAAAAGTCTTGCACATCTGCAGTGGTTTTTGGCCTGAGCGGCCTAGCGATGTAAAATACACTGAAGAGAAGTGTCCCTGTTGGACACCAGTCAACCTCCCGGTCTCAGCTGCCCTCAACCTTCAGGCCACTTCCCTGTGCTTAATTATACCAGCAAGGCAGAACACATCTCATTCTGAACAGTCTAGTAACAGGCCTCGCTCAGTTAGGTATTTGCTGGTATTTTTTTGAAACTCCTCAGTCTTCTGGAAGCTCTTCATGTTACCTCCTTCCTCACGTGCCGACACTTAATGAAAGCCACTGCTTTCAGAAGAAAGAAGAACGTCATTGTGAGTGATCTACTAAAAAGCTCTAAAGTTTCAGATTGTGCCCTTAACATTTCAAGTTTCAGAGAAAAGAGCTGCCTTCTGTTTAAGGTGAATCCTTTCTGCTTTGTTTCACATCCCATCTCACCCAAGTCTAGGCCTTTATCTTGTCCACCTCTTCTACCTCTTGTTCTAGCTTCTTCCCTATCACCTCTACCATGGGAGCATAATTTGCCTCTCTTCCTTTCATACTACTGACCAGGACTCTTTTTGCCCAAACTCACCAAGACTCCTATCTTTTCTGAGTTACTCCTTTGGTGACCCAACCACGTTTTTACCTGAGCCACCTGAGTAGGTTTCTGTGCTATGCAACCAAGAGAATCAGAAAAGACTTGTTCCTTTCTTGCTTGCTCAGATCATTACAGAAATCTCTGACTTGACTGGTAACCCTTTAATCCTGCTCCGTTTCAAAGTTGCACAGAGACCATCCCTCCCCACCATAGAGGAGGCAGTGGCAGGCCTACCTGAGGTGGAAGGCCGACTTGTCAGCCTGGTTCTATTAGCAAATAAACGCACACTGAGGATAATGAAAGCCAGGTTTCTTGCTGTTGGAGAATATATTACAAGCATGGAAAGGGAGAATCCAGAAAGAACCCTCGTGTTGGACTGGACTTGGAGGAGGTATGAACTCGTGTGTTTTGACATACATGTACAGAGACCCAAAATAGTTACGTCTGTATTAGTGTGTCTATGTGTCATTTTATGTATTTTGTATTTCTGTCTGCTGAGAGTTTCTAGAAGCAATGGTCCCCCCATTCCAATAAGCGCAAGTAACTCCCAGATTTTGGTGTCTAGATACCATTTTCCAATAAAAGGAACCAGAGATCTCTGGAGAAACAGTTGACTTCAGGAGCAGTGAAAGTACAAGATGCGCCTGGAATATTTTGTTGTGCCAGGAGGTAAGAAAATGCTTAGAGTATCATGTGCTATCAAAGGACATGGGGGGCATGCCCTTGACATGACTTGAAGGGCTCTTGCTGATTAAATCTGGGACAATCTGAGTCCCAAAATCAAGGATGACATTGGCAGATTATAAGCCAGGGAGTAAAACAGGAACCCATGAGTCCATTCTGATGTAGCTGAATGAGCGAGTGAGGAGTGCACAGAAAATAGACTGTTGGAATCACACAGATGGAAAATTCACCTTTTAGCAGTCCCTGTAGTGCAAGAGTGAGTTATCAAGGAAGGCTAAGGGCAGCAGGTGGAAATTTGATGAGGAATAACACTGGAATACTTCCTACAAGACACTTACCAATTACAAAGGGAAAGAGGAGCACAGCAGCATTCCTGGGGCATTCTGCCAGAGAGCTTGAGAAAGCTTGACTCAAGTATGGCCTTGGGGCAATGCAATGTAGGGTCTCCCTCTGTTCTTACTGAGGAATTAAATATTCCAGGTCACAAGACTGAAGAGACACAACTATACCCAACGTGTGTTCCTCTGTGGGATCTGGGCTGTGAAGGAAAAGAAGTGTTTTGAGGACAATTGGTGGAAAAAAGGGGGTCTGTGGTTTGGACAGCAGACCTGTAACCATGTTGACTTCCTGACTGGCAGGCTGTGGGGCAGAGGCTGTCCTTGTATTGGGAAAACAAACACTGGAGTATTTTGGAGTGATGAGTAATCCTATCTGAAGTTCTTTGTCAAATGACTCAGAACAAGTCTAATGATAATGGGTAAGCATATGTGTAAACAGATGAATGCTGGATGACAGATGAGTGGAGCAAGTGTGCTGGGAGGTTCATGGTGGGAATCTCGGCAATGGAAGCAGGGAGTGCTTTGTACTTGCATATTTTCCAAGTTTGAAGTTAATCCAAAAGTCATTTTTAAAAGTTCTTATTTCTATCAAATGGCCAATTCAAAATGCAGATCTGATTGAATCTCTTCCCTGCTTACATATCATTTGTTTCTAATGTGAAGTTCCAGCTCCTCTGCATGACACACACAGCTTGTCCACATTTGATCCTACTTCTCACCTCACTTCCCAATCTAGGGTCTGCACTGCTGCTTATCCCTCTCAAACCCTGCTGCTACCTGTCTGTGCCTTTGCACCTGCTGTTCTCTGTGTCTGGACTACCCTTCTCCCTGATCCTTATGCAAAACTCCTATTCCTCTTTCCAAAACAATTTGTATATCTCTGCTTCTGTGAAGCCTTTTGTGAGATTTCCTTCCTTGAGTTAATGTTGTCTGTACTTTAGGCTTATCTCCATGACTACATTCATCTGCTGAATATAGTTCAGCCGTCAGGAGCCCCAAGGCAACTCTGCGCATATGAGGGGGAGCCCTAATATTCTTGGGGGTAAGTCTGAATTAGATGGTACATGTTAGAGCACCCAACTGAAGCCATCTATCAAGTTATAAGCCTCCATTCCAGTTTTTATCGTTATTGGATATGATATTTGCATGGGTTCATTAAGTCCTCTGCTCAGGTCTCATTAGGTGAAACCAAGTGTTGCCTTGTTGCCTGAGCTGTGGTCTCTTCTGGAGACCTTCATCTGAGATCCCCTCCCAAGTTCAGTCAAGGTGTTGGCAGAATTCAGTTCACTGCAGCTGTAGGGCTTAAGTCCCTAATTTCTGCTGGATGACATTCAGGGGT